AAGTTGCGATGGCTAATGAGCCCGTTCTGGGCGACGGCACCAACGGCGCCTATCACGGGGTGAAGGCAATGATTTAATCTTCCACGTATCGTCGTGTTGGCGCGTGCCATCTGGGGCCTCGGGGACGAACGCAGCCAGCGTGGCCGAGAAGCCAGAGCCCATGAGGTTGCCCTTCATGATCCGCTGGAAGACCGTCAGGAGGACCAGAGGGCCACGGCCAGAACGCCAGGCCGCGTCGTGAAGCCCATTTGGGCCTGGGGCCGCCTAAGAAGCCCGAGCAAGGATGCGCCCCGCGTCTTCCAGAGTGGGGGGGCGGATGTTGCTGTCGCCCCTGGTGCTGGCGAACCGCTCGAGGAACTTCGGGGCGCCGCGGGGGCCTCGTGAGGCCTGCCGGAGATCGGGGCCTGGTGGCTGGCCAGAGCACGAGCAACCTCTTCCTCTCCAGACGCAGCCCGAGTAGGGGCGAGATCACCTAGAGCAGGCGCAGCGGGCATGGCCTGCAAGAGGCCCGACGTCGTCGGCTCAGCTGTGCCTGATCCACCGCCGCGGAGGCCAGGCGCGTCCGTCGCCGAAGCGTGTTCCAGAGCTGGGGGCCCGAGCTAGAGCACGCCTCTGCCCGAGAAGTCTCCGATGTCGTCCTCTGGCAGGTTCGACTGCTGCAGCTGCAGCAGCCCTGCGTCGACATGCTGCTTCTTGGCGCCGGGCCCCCCCCGCGGAGGGCCCGCGAGCCCCGCGGGTCGAGCAGGGCGACTTTCTGCCCCGGGATGCCGAAGATCCCGCGCCCACGGGGACTGAAACGCAGTTGCCCTGGATAGCCGCAGATCTTGCCGCCGCACGCATCCAGCGACGCTTCGACTGATCGTTGCGCGAGAGGACGAGGAAGTCGGGGGGGCCGTAACAGGACATCGCGAACGACGAATCCAGCAAACTGTCGCACTCGGGCAACTGTCATCAGCAGTCGCTGCGGGTCGGACTGCAACGAGGAGAGCTGCGCGAGAGCCTCGAGCTCGGACGCCACTTGCGAGCGCAGGCGACCGCGGCAAACCACTTCCGGAGCGGGCGAGAACGATAAGGGCAGAATTGCCCCCTTAATCCTTTGCAGAAGACCTCGTGGGGCTCGGCGGCAAAACGCGCGGACTGGCGCGCTTGTCGAAGGCGCCAAGACGGGCGAGAGGTGAAGCAGAGATCAATTTTGGATGAAGCGCCAGCGGTCGCATCCCAGCGTGAGAAGCCCCCCCCTGCGAGCTCCGTCATCTGCCTGAAAATAACGCGCCGCGCGCGGTCGCCAGGTCGACCAGCGCGCGGCCGACCATGGGTGCCTGGCGCATCGCCGAAGCCAACGATGGGGGCGGGGTGGATGATGCGCCGCCTTCAACGTCGGCATGCGCGCCGAATTCTGCAGCCAACTGCGCGAAATCAATGCGTTCCGGCTCCTCGTCCGTGATGTTGAAGTCGCCGGCCGCAGCGACCGTCTTCTCTGCTGGTTGAAAATGGTCTTGCTCGAGATGTTCTTGCAATCGAGCCCTCGTCAATTGCGGCGCGGAGGCGTCGACGCTGTAGTTATGGGCGCTCCAGTGGAATAAGGCGAAGCCACTCGCGCGGCAGATAACGCAACTTCCGAAGACATATCCACGGCGCCCGTAGTCGGCGCTGGCGTCATCGCGCCGAAAGCGCGAGTGGCCCCACTATCACGGCGCGGCGTGCTGGAAAGCGACCCGCTGGATAATCTCATTCATCGCCCCCTGATCGCCATGGGCCTCTTTCCAGCCGACAGTGGTCTCCGACGCAGCCAGCCGGCGCAAGTGCTGCAGGCGCGCGCGCATCTTGCCGGCGTCGAAGTGCAACGGCGAGGAGCCGTTCCAGGATGCGAAGCGTAAGTGTTGGCCACCAAAGGGCCTGTTACACGCGCCGCGTGACCTCCTTGCCGCAGAACGCCCGCCTCGCGAGCTGGCAGGCGCGCGCGAGGGTCTGGCTCGCATCGGCAAGGGCGGAGACATTCCACTCAACCTTCGGCATGCGAGAACCCGCGACAAACGATGCCTTGGCGAGCGGCTCCCACTTTGTAAACAATTGTCCATCATCACGGTCAGCGAAGGGATGGAGACCACATTCGTCCAAGACTGCCTTGCGTAGTTCCTTGAGCGCCATCTCCGTAGCGACCTCCTTCCTTTTCTTGTCCGCCTAGATGTAGACAGGGGTGGTAGCAGGCCCCGCTGACGCCGAGAAAGGTCTCCACCTGCCAGCGCCAGTGCGCAGCTGGAGCTGCGCTCGACGCCTCCGTGGGCATCGGGCCGAGAGGACGTGCCGCTTCGACATGTCGTCTCCAAAGGTGTCAGCGTGCTCGCCCAGCTTGAGGTTTGCTGCATCCAACCATTCTTGCAAGGCGTCCGCCACTGAAACTGTAGGTGCCGCGCTGGCCCCGCGGATCTGGAGGATAGTGGTGTCAGTCGGGCGATTCCAATCGCCCCAATCGCCCGATGTAATGGGCGTCTCCCTGGGGCGAGCTCTGGCCAGGCCCAGCTCCTTAGTGACCCAGACGATGGTTGCGCTTAGCTAGTTGGTCGGTGACGGAGGTAATCCGCGCATCTTGGCGGGCCATGTCGTCGCGGACCCGACGGATCTGATCATTGAGCTTCTCCGCATAATTGCTGATGAGCAGCGCGGTGGCCTGCGCCAGCGCCTCAGGGAGACGTGTGTGCCGTGCAGATATAACTGCCTGCGTGAACTCATCGATGGCCGTCTTCTTGAAGTCCGCGAAGCTCTATCCGCCCAACATATCTGCTTGCGTCTAGGAATCGGGAACACCACCTCCAGGAGGGCCGGCGGCCGCCGCCCATGGACGCTGAGGTGGCGGAGGAGGCAATGACGTAGGCGTGGTACTCGTAGGAGGCGACCCACTCGCTGCAGCAGCACCCGCCTCCGGGTTGGCGATGACGGCGGGCAGTTCCTCGAGGTCAGGCGCGGCAGCCCGGCCGTCGGGCGTGGCGATGCCGTAATGCGCTGCATCATGGGCGCCGCAGCGGCCCTGGCTGCGCGACCTGCGGGATCCAGCAGAGGAGCCTCCGCGGGGAACTTGCTGGGAGGGGAAGGTGGGGGCCTCGTCCAGGTCTCGCAGCGCACGAGCGATAACGGCTCGGAGAGGAATGGCAACTCCCTGTAAGCCACCATCTGTAGATCCACGGGCACCTGTGTCGTGGTTCCGATATGCATGCCTCCCTTGTGCTTTGTCGTGCCTCCAGAGGCCAGGGGTATCAAATGCTCCAGAAACAGAAGAGCGAATCGACCTGCGAGACGGGACGAGAGAGATTCAGACTTGTCCTTTTTCTCCTTCTTTCCTTTTTGAGCTTGCGGGGGGTGTTGGCGTCATGGACAGGCGTGAGTCCCATCAACACAGCACCAAGCCAGGAACTGGAAAGGCCTAAGCTTACCCAGCCTGCGCTATGCACAAGTCGTCAGAGGAGGCAGTCACTTGGCCCCAGCAGCGCGCAGCTCGACAGGCTAACTGAACCGGGAGCTAGCCTCCGACTTGAGGTATCCACTTCAAGCCCGAGGGACAAAAACATCTTGAACCCAAATGGATTGAACCAAAATGGCTACGGACCTCCCTCTCTGGAGGAGGAAGAGGAGGAGGAGAAGGAGGAGGAGGAGGAGGAGGAAGAGGAGGAGGAGGAGGAGGAAGGAGGAGGCGGCGGCGGCCCAAATGGGCAACAAAAAACGCCCAAAGCACCCTCATGGTGATCCCCCCCCCCCCGGGACTTCTCGGGTCAGACGAAACGGGGGGGGGGGTCAGCAAAGGGGAAGGTCAACGAATTAGCTCACACGACCTTCTTTCCTGGCGCCTCCCGTCGCCCGCAGGCGCCACTGTGTCGAGGAAAGGCGCCGCCCAGGGGCGGGGCCGCAGCCAGCAGCGCGCGGGCACAGAGTCCCGACGCCGGCGCCGCTCGCAGGGAGAACGGCGGGGAACGCAGGGGGTCTGCCCGGATCTGGCCGAACTCGGCGCGCTCCCCCGGGGGTACCGGCCGCAGCGCTGCAGCTTCACCTCGACCGACCGAGACTTAGGCTGGGGCCGCCGCGCGCGTTGTCGTACCCCCCCCCCTTCCTGTCCCAGCCCCCCGTCGGCCGCCCGTTCGCAAGACTCCGCTCGGAGCGTGGGCCGTGGCACCAAGCACGCAGACAAGCTTAGCCTTTTTTTTGAGTGCCGCCCCCATGGTTCCCTCCCTCTGCGGCTGCCCCTGTCCCTCGTCCCATGCCCCAGTGCAACTTCGCTCTCTGGAATCTCCACCTGGCTCCTCCGACTGGTGCTAACGCCGAGTCCGCGACCAAAAATATCCCAACCCTCCCCCCCTTCACCCGACCCGGACCTCGCCATCTGAAATTTGACGCCAATTCCCGCTGCAAACGTCCCACGAACACAGGACCGTCAACATCCAGGACGGGCCCGCTCACACAAACGTCGGCAAACCCGAGTTCTGGCGAACTCGAGTTTCACGTTTCCCCTCCCCCCTCCCCCCTTGGCGGGAGACTCGTAAGGCCACGGTCTTGGGCCCCTGGCCTCGGTGGGTGGGTTTGGGCCGCCGTGTTTTTTGGCCGCCGGGCGAGCAGAGCGGAATCAAAGTATTTGAGCAGGGGCCGACCGTCCCGGCATTCCTATAGTCCTACCATGGAATGTTCTGAGAACCCAAAAATGTTATAATAACAAAAACACTGTTCTTGGAACATTAACCCGATGTGTTAAAACAAGACAGTCCCAGCCAGAAGCGTTCTAAGAACATTTCGTGGATACCACAAAAAGTTCTTAGAACATTGTTTGGTAGGACTATAGGCGAGCCAGGACGCTTCCCCACTGCTTGAAGTATGCCAACACCGCTTCTGAGCTCTACGCTCCGCACTTGTGGCCTCCCGCAGAGGGGGGCCGGCCCAGACTGCGCTGCGGAGCTTGACGGTTCCTCCTCCGACTCGACCCGACCTTCGGCCGCGGGGGGGGGGCGGGGACGCGCGGCCTCGTGCCGATCCCGGACCTGAAGACGTGATCGACGCGGCGTCCGAAACGGCAGGACGAACGCCGATCCTGCACACGGGGGAAGCATGCCGGGGGCTTTCTCTCAACCTCCGCCCCTCCCCCCCCTCCCCCCTTCAGCAGTGCGTCCACCCCTCCTCCTGCTCCTCCTCCTGCTCCTCCTCCTGCTTTTCCTCCTCCTCCTCCTCCTCCTCCTCCTCCTCCTCCTCCTCCTTCTCTTCCTCTTCCCTCCTCCTCCCTCCTCTTCCCTCCTGCTCCCTCCTCCTCCTCCTCCTCCTCCTCCTCCTGCTCCTCCTCTCCCTCCTTCTCGCCCCCCCTTCCCCAGTGCGGGGCGCGCGGCCTCGTCCCTTTCGCCTGCGCGGCCGCTCACCTCTCGCCCTTGCGGCGCGCCATTGGCGCCACGGGGCGCGCGGTAGCTACGGTGAGCGCAGCGCGGCGCTGGCTCTCCACGGCGGGCGTGGGACGAGGAGGGAGGAGGAGGGGGGCGGGAGGAGGAAGATGGTGGGGGAGGATGATGATGATGATGATGAGGAGGAGGAGGAGGAAGAAGAGGAGGAGGAGAAGGGGGAGGAGGAGGAGGAGGAGGAGGAGGAGGAGGAGGAGAGAAGGAGGAGGAGGAGGAGGAGGAGGAGGGAAGGGGAGGAGGAGGGAAGAGGAGAAGGAGGAGGAGGAAGAGGAGGAGGAGGAGAAGGAGGAGGAGGAGGAGAAGGAGGAGGGGGAGGAGGAGGAGGAGGAGGAATCATAAACATAGGAAGAAGCAACAGAAGACGATTCGGCATTGCGCTGCATGTATGATGTCACATGCCTGATGCTGCTAATGCAAGGATTACAACATAACACCTCTGACAATCGTTCGAACGAATACCGATCGAGGTCAGGGTGAAGCGCACCGTGCAGCCCAGCATTCGAACGAGTGCGAGACCGATCGCAAACAGTGAAACCCGTGCGAGCGGGAGGCGCGGTACCTCTCGGGCTCCGCAGGGGCCGATACTCCAGGACGGAAGGCCCCAGGCAGGCCCCTGGAGCGCCCGAGCCCTCCCGAATTCGAGCCACCCACTCCCCAGCAGGCAAGCGCGACGGACGCAAGAGGAACGACGGGGCGAGAGAGGCGACAAAGAGGGCGCGCACGAACGAAGAAGGGAGCAATGACAACGCAGAAGGAGAGCAAGCAATCAGCAGCGGAGGGGGGAGCGGGGCTCACAAAGACAAAGCCGACCCTCACAAACAAGTCCGATCCTCCAGAGGTGAGGAGGGGGGGGGGGGGGGGGCGGCAGCTGGGCGGCGCCCCAAAGTACAGCGAAGCGGGCATCAACGGGCTCGGGCGACGAGGGAGAAGGGGAACAGGTAGTAGGCAAAGAAATAGTTCACGTCCAGGGGGTGAGCCATGTCCATATCGTAGCACTCTGTAGTAAGCTGCAGCGCGCATCAGAAGCATTCGAGGCGGCAGAACCTGATCCGCACACCGCCGCTACATGGGGGCAAGGGCAACCATCCTCCAACCCGAGCCCCCCAGGGCGGTGCGTCACGCCAGCGGCGACGTGTGAACCTCCCCGAAGGGAGGCGCGCTCTGACAAGGTCGTGTCCAAGAGGTTACAGACTGTGGCCCGGCAGTGTAGACGCCTCCGACGATCGTGCGCTCAGCTCTTTTAGACGAATCCTCTCACGTAGCGCCATCATCCGCCGCTTCCACGGCTCTTCCCCTTGAGCTTGCCCCGATCCAACAACTTCTGCGCCATCATCTCGAGGTGGCCCACAGGTGCGGTGCCGGGCTTGAGGCGACCCTCGAGGTGAATCAGCGCCTTGATCACCGCCTGCTCCAGCAGGGGCTTTGACACCGCTGCCTGACCCTCGCCCAGGGGAATCTGAAACTCGCCCAGGATGCTGAACTGGATGCGACAGAAATTCTCGCTGTAGCACCTCCACACACGGAAGTGACGAATGACCAAGCCCAAGTCGCCCATCGATACTTTCGAGACGAACTGGTCGCATAATGCAATCAGCACCTGAGACGGCTCCAGAAGAGCGCGCACCTTCTCGTCCGTCCTCCTTTAACGACTTGAACGCGGCTCGCGCGATTGACAAATGAGGAGGGCCCACTTGAGTTTTCAGCTCGGGTATCGCCGCTGCTTCTTCGTGTTTCTTCCCTGCGGCCTCGGGGGCGACAGTGGGCGGGGCGTCCGCGGGGGCCGCGACCCATATCCACTCCGACGCCGCCGGGTCCCGCAGCTGCTGCGCGTGCATGCGCGCCGTCTTCAAGCGTATGTTCAGCGCCTGCTGTATATCTTTTGCCCTCAATACCCCTTCCACTTGTGCCGACTCGTCGTCGGCCTCGTCTGCCATCTGTCCAAGCCGTCCTTTTTTTGCCTGCGGGCTTCCCTCTGCTGGCTCCTCTGCATTTGCCTTGTCCTTGCAGTAGCAGGTCGAGGTCCATGGCGAAGACGTCTGCGAGCGAGCTGAGGCGACGGCAGCGAACAATGAGTGCGGATGTTCAGTTGGAGAGACAGCAGGCCTTGAGCCGAGTAACTGCATGCAGGGCGCGCCGGCGACGGGGGCATCAAGATCTCGCTCTGTGTGCTCGAGCTTCTTCCAACCGCGCACCTGTTTCGCAGGCAGGACCTCGCGACGTGCCTCTGCGCGTTCTCCCGAGAGCCTGGGGCCTGAAGACAGCGAAAAAATTGATTGGCCACGGTCAGCAGGCTGGCCTCGCTTCTGACCGCGCGGGCCCTTCCAGCATGCAGCAGCAATTTTCTAAAGGTGGAAATCTCCCCTCGCGGGCCCCTCCCTCGGCGTTCGCGAGGCCGCGCTGAGAGGGGCCCCGCGAGCTCCACCTCGTCGAGGGCCTTCGCGTCCAACGAGTGAACGAAACCAAGAGGGGGAACCGACCTCGAGAAAGCTTGTGCCCTGAGGATCGAGAAATCGACGCCCGCCCGCTCGTGGAACTCTCGATCGAAGAACAGCTTGAGGAGCGGGTGCCCTGGAGGCAACAACTGCTGGAGCTCCTCCGAGCCCTCCAACCCGAGCGCGAGGTCCTCGAGTACCTGCAGAGCCCAGGGGCTCGCGTTTTCCACCGGTGTCCAGGGCGACGCGATGAACTCCTCGGAGCCCAGAAGGCCCAAAGACACTAGCTCTGGCTCGACGGTGAGCCTCGGATATTTGCGCCAACTCGGATGCAAACGCAGCCTTCTAACCCTCAGCTCCTTGGCGCGCGGGGAGATTCGCCAGCGCGCCCGCGCGCGGTCCGCCGACCGCCGACGGAGCCCCTGCTCGCCGAGGCCCAGGATCCCCGCGCCACTTCTCGTAGCCAGTTGCAAAGCCCGATCAGCAGCGCCGCGAAAACTTTCGCCGGGAATCCTGGCCTCCATCCCCGAGAGCAACACCGACTGGACAAACGCGATTATTGCCGTTCCCTTGGCGCTCAGGACTGCCGAGTGCCTCTGGGAGAGCGAGATCTTGCCTAAACCCGCTCGCCCAGCTTGGACGCGCTTCGCCTTTTCAACCTGAAGAGAACCACTCGTCGTTAACCAGCCTCCAATAACTCTCATGAGCCTCCCCGCTTCGCCCTCGGTTTCCACGGCCCCGCCGAAGGCGGGGCAACGTTGCCCGAGAGAACCGGGGCCCGCCAACTTGACCAGGGACTCTTTTTCCCAAGATTCAGGGCGGCTCCGATCTGGGCCAAGGCCCCCTGTGAGCGATCGCTGCCGATGTGAGCGAGAGCGCGGAATGCCGGCAGATGGCGAGCTTCGCCTCCCATCCGTTGCGGAGGCGGACCTGGCCCAGGGATGACGTGCTTTGTGCTGTCATCCGCGAAGGGAGACAGGCCCGCGTCCGTGGTGACCCCATTCGGCTCGGTGACCAACGCCACCGAGCTCGAGGTCGTCCGCTGTCGAATCTCAAAGAACGGCTCCAAGCCCTTCTGGTAGGAGTAAGGAAATCCTCGAGCAGCGTTCGGGTGGCCCATGAAGTCGCCCGTGGTCGGGCGCAGGCAGATCGTCTCGCCTGGCGCGATGACCTGGCAGGCGCTCCGAATGATCCGCTGGCGTTGAAACGTGACATCTTCCTCAAATTCAGCACGGGCAATGTGTCCAGCATGATATCACGAGAAACACTCGAGAATGCGTTGGTAGCGTCCTCGTTGGCGATCGCGTGTGAGTAGCCCTGCCATTGCAATCTCAACGATGTACAGCATTGAATAAGAATTGCGTCTTCCCGCCTGCGCTCTGTGCAAGTCCATGGCATGCGCGTGGCAGTGCTTCCCTGTGCCGACGCGCTCTGACCCATAGATGAGAGTTCCACGCATTGCCAAAAAGGCAGAATCAATGAATCCATCTCTGGCGCTCAGCAGCCTGCCTGCCGTTGTTTTTTTTTTCCCCCAAACTGCAGCAAGAGGGCGCGTAGAAAATCAAAGGGGTCGCAGCCGTTCGACGGAAACGAGCCAGTGAGTCCAGAAATCCTTCCAAGAACGCCGTCGCCGATACAGGACGCAGCGCGGCACAGAGGCCCCCTCCACGAAAACTTCCCCAACATTCTTCGTCAAGAATTAATAGCCACAGCTCAGAAAAGGAGCGACCGCGTCGGAGCAGCCCGTCGCCTTGGAGCCCTCCTCAATTGTTGTATAATGCCGATCATGCCGTTCCCCGCGTCATCTAGGTTCTCGAGCTGCGTGGCGTTGTAGCGAACCTCCCCCGAATCGCCCCAACCGTCGGAGTGCGGCCGGTCGATTCTCTCCATGACCTCAGCTTGTAAGTCGCACGCGCTGGCGCCAATACCTCCAGAAGTGGCAGGCCGACGCAGAAACTCAGAGATCTCCTGAGCTTCGCTATTCTCAGACTTCAGCGCGACATGCTGAATGTGTCTAGGCCCCGCCCCACGTTTGGATTGGCGCCGATTGTTGAGGCCGTGCGACTTCCAAGCTTTGCTCAATTCCAAGGTCAGGGATGCCTCGCGGTTCTTGTTGATCAGCTTTGGTAGGTGTCTAATTCTGATTGTGGTCCGAGCCAGGTGAAGTTCCACCTCGATGCGATGCGCGTGAGATTCAGATCCACTTCCAATGTGCTTGCCTCTGAAGATATTCCTGGCCTTGGGTAAAGACGACTGCTGCTTCTCCAAGGCCGTCAGCTCCTTCTCACCGTCTGTCTTTTAGGAACAATTCCACTGCCTCTGACACTAATGCACTCACGGCCAAGTTCCACACCTCGTCAGGCGTAGCCCTCGCACACCAGCTGACCCAATCCGCCTCAAGAGTGTCCGTAACCGCAGACAGCATGGCCTCGATCGCGTCGGTGCACGATGTGCCTTGGGCGATGGAGCACATGATGCGGTCGCAGTCCCACGGCGGCTGGCGCTCCACAAGCTGCGCCTGGAATTCGTACCTCACCTGCAGGAAAATTTGTCGATGCACTCGGTCATGAAGGGTCGAGATGGGTTGTGGCCTACGCCCTGCCCTGTG